GAGGGGGGACAAGTTCATTTGTTAACCCAAATTGTTGTGTTTACTTTATTTGTTAACCCAGATTGAAATTTGTGGCTAAGATAATTCATGATATAAAATGTAAATAATTGCACACATAGACAAGGTAACATAAGTGAACAAAATTTTCAAGGGGTATTTTGAGAAAAGATTTTAGTTGTCCATTAATGACAATGAGATGTTTTGTAACCGCTCATTAATGTCAATGAGATGTTTTCTAATTGCCCATTAATAACAATGTAACTATCCGAGATTAATCTCGTCATCGAATCAAAACCAACAACAAGATCCCCACCACCAGATTTTTCTACATTTTTTTTTGTTAATGGTTCATATGTGAATAAGTATTCGATATTTATGGGAATTGTTCATGTGTGAACAGATGTGTATATGGAAAAAAGTCGTAAGTGACACAAGTATGCATATATGTCAATCTGTGTTTGTATTTGACACAAGGGTTCATATATGTCAATTTGTGTTCGTAATTGACATAAGGGTTCATATATGTCGAGTTGTGTTCATATGGTTGTACGAATGTTTGTATATGTGAATTTGTGTTCATATGGTCACACATGTTCATCATTTTTCGTATGTTCATTTGGGTCAATATATGTTCATATTTATACCAACTGTACATATAGGTCAATATGTTTTCGTAATTGACACAAGTGTTCATATATGTCAATTTGTGTTCGTAATTGATACAATGGTTCATATATGTCGAGTTGTGTTTATATGGTTGTAAAAATGTTCTCATATGTGAATTTGTGTTCATATGGTCACACATGTTCATCATTTTTCATATATGTCAATTTAAACGATGCCGAAAACTTTACTACCAGGTCTCCTCCAGCAATCACAAATTCATAAACATTAGAGATAGAAAATCAATATTAAAAAAAATTAATAAGATTAATAATAAGTTAACACAAATCATGAAATTTTATGATTTTGTAACTCCCAATTAATGATATGGGAGTTACATAAAAATTAAAATTACATACTTACTCTTGTCATTAAATTATAAGATGAATATGAACCTATATATAAGATGGATTGTCATTGGTTGAAAATGATTAACAAAGTTAACACAATAAACTTAGATAGAGAGAGAGCTTTGTTAACCATTTTCAACCAGTGACAATCTATCTTATATATAGGTTCATATTCATGTTATAATTTAATAACAAGAATAAATATGTAATTTTCTTTTTTATGTAACTCCCATATCATTAATTGGGAGTTACAAAATAAAAAGATCTCATGGTTTTTGTTAATTTATTATTGATTTTGTTTTTTTTACAATATTGATTTTTCTATCTATAATATTTTTGAATTTATGATTGGTAGAGGAGACTCGATAGTAAAGTTTTCGGTATCGTTCAAGCTATTATGGATAAACCCATTGTTCATAATGAAGAAACTATTGTTCACAAGTGTTTATATTGTGTTTATATGTACACTAGCTGCATATCTCAATATTGGCTTGCTCCTGAATGTGTTCATAATGAATGAACTATTGTTTACAAACTGTTCATATTGTGTTCATTGTACACTAGCTACATATCTCAACACTAATTCGCTCCTGAATGTGTTCATAATGAAGGAACTAACGTTCATAAGTGTTCATATTGTGTTCATTGTACACTAGCTACATATCTCAACATTGACTCGCTCCTGAATGTGTTCATAATGAAGGAACTAATGTTCATAAGTGTTCATATTGTGTTCATATGTACACTAGTTGCATATTTCAACATTGACTCACTCCTGAATGTGTTCATAATGAAGGAACTATTGTTCACAAACTGTTCATATTGTATTCATAATGAATGAACTATTGTTCACAAGCTGTACATATTGTGTTCATATCTGTTTATTTATTTATTTCTTTTCGTGTAACAACTATTCTTATTATGTTAATATTGTGTTCATAAATTTCATGAAATCCAAGTTTATATATATGTCAATTTTTGTTCGTATTTGATACAATGGTTTATATATATATATATATATATGTGTGTGTGTGTGTGTGTGTGTTCATATGGTTCTTACATTAACAAAAATAAATTAACAAAAATCATGAGATTTTTTGATTTTGTAACTCTCAATTAATGATATGGGAGTTACATAAAAATAATAATTACACAAATACCATTTTCCACTTAGTTCACATATGTTTGTGAAATTGTAAATTGAAAAAAATAAAATTTTAATATGATAAATCACAACCGTTTATTGTAAGAATCAACGGGCAAGATTGGTTAACAAAGTTAACACAATAAACTTGGTTAACTTTTAAACCAGGTCCTATATATACACGGACGAAATCATTTTCGTCCCTTCCACCCCCCACTACAGGCCAACCCCTTATTCTCTTCTTCCCTTCACACCTTCACCATTGGTCATCACCTGCCATTGCCTCCTTCATGGCTTCACCTTTTCAAAGCCAGATCCTATCCTCATTCCTCCATTTCATCTCCATTCCCAAATGGGGAACATTAGTGGCAAAAAGGATGGTGATGACATAGAGTTATGGCTCATTCTCCTCCTTGAAGCCCTATATTTATGTTTGGTTCGTGTGGTTTAGATTAGATTTTCTCAGATTTTAGGGATGATGAAACGAAAATGAACTTTCAAACCAATACATGCTCTATGGATCGAGATTTGGTTCTTGTGGTTTAGATTTAGTTTTTAGATTTTAGGGATGGGATGATGGTGGCGGAGAAACGAGTAGAGAAGGACACAGTGGCTGCCTTTATCCTAATCCTCCGGTGATGGCGTATGATGACAGGTCCAACGAGGAGAATGAGATGGTGCTTGCCTCCACCTCACTTCTTCGGTGATGGAGTCCGACGACAAGTCCCTAAAATTTGATAGTTTTTGTAAAAACAAAAAAGGAAGAAATGAGTAAAATGATTAAAATACCCCTCATTAAACTGGATTTAAGGAAAAAAGTTAACGCCCTTTAATAGGAGGGACGAAAAATGTTGCAAAGTGTCAACCGCAAGGGATAAATATATTAAAATAAAATTGAAGGACAAAAACCATTAAAATTAAATATTAGGGTTCAAAAATTGAACTTTACTCAAAACTTTATGTAATAAATATTAAATAACCGACCCTCAAAAAATCAAATCCAAAATACCAATCCGACCCGTCTTATAGTTCTCCCAATTGGACTATTGATTACCAGCAGGAAGTCGGTGGGGGGTTACATTTGAAAGAGAAAGGGCGTACAGAGAGGGGGATCTGATTTTGTGTTCTTGGATCAGTAGGATTAGGAGAGATCTGTTTGTAAAAACATAATTTCCAGGCAGATCTGTTCCAGTTTTTCACCAATTTCAATCTTCTTCATTCATACACTCAAAGGGTTTATTGATTCTTAGTTCACACAGAGGAAGGATGAATATATTTAGACTTGCAGGGGATATGACCCATCTGGCCAGCGTCCTCGTCTTGCTCCTAAAGATACATACCATCAAATCCTGCGCTGGTACCCTTACTTTATCCCCATTTACCATCTGCCGTCTTTTGCAGATTTATTTACGAAATTTGAGGATTTTTTTTAACTTTATGGTTTCCGCAAAATGCGATTTTTTGGTTAAATTGGAGAGGATTCATGATAACATCAGTAGGTTTTGAGATGTGCTTGTTTTCAGATTGCTCGTTAATGGGTTGCGAGCTTAATCTGTGGTCATCTGTTCATGTATGTTTTGATTTTTGAAAAATTGAACTGAATTTTCTCGATTTAATTGTGGTTTGAAGGTTGATTCTGGTAGTTTTGTCCTTGAGGCAGATTTGTGGGATGATTCAGCACAACCACCCTCTCCATCTGTGTTATAAAATGCAGTGGTTCTTATCTACTTATGTATCCAGTTGAGATTTCATTTTCATTTTTGTGCGAGTTTAGCATATGAGGTTGATAATTTAGGGCAAATTGCAATCGGTATGTTGGAGAAACATTATGTATTTCAGAAGGGTAGGATGCGTAACTCTAGGTCATAGTTTTTACAAGGATTAACCCCTTTTTTTCTTATCAACGCTGACAGTACTCTTAGTAGTAATAGGTCATTATAGTATAATGTCCATAACCCTTGTTCTGAGAATTAAGCATACGAGATTCTATGTTTCTTTTTTGTTAGGTCAAGTTTGTTGGATGCTAATCACTATGCGGACGTTAATTATTGATATTACAAGGAGACTTGCTTCCATCTTTTAGTGACGATTTGTTTCCCTTTTTGAGGTTTTGTTACGCCCTGCATTGCTTCATTGCTAGTCTATAGTTTGTTCCGTATGTTGTAATGCAAATACCTGGTTAATCTAGAAGCTTTTTATAGGGAGATGAGTTACTAGAACCATACGTTTACACTGGGCACACACCATAGTAAGTGAAAAATGTGAAAACGCTGGTGACGTATGTTCATTGGTTGCACGCTGATATGAAGGTGAACCTGAATATAACTTCTTTTAGTAAGTTTTAGAGGTGGGCAAAGTGAATTGTGAATTTGCTTTAGCATTTTTGTTACTCGTTAGAAAACAACTTCAGTTATTACAAGCCCTTTGTTTGAGTATGTATACGCAGCAACTTATGAGACAAAATTGAGAGTGAGTAATGACATTTCGGTTGCATATTTATGTGCTTAAAATATGAGCCAAGGTGAAGATGTTTGTCCTATGCTTACATAAGAAGGGGAACTTGTTTTGTCCCATAGTCAAAGCCAATTGTTTTGTTTGGTTGGACTTTTGCAGTCTCCCTTACTCTGCATGATCTTTTAATCTATCTGCAACATCCATTTAAATGCAATATACTTTTTGTCTAGTAAAATACGCATTGGAACAAATTATGTTTAGGAAAACTACAACTGTTTGCAACCCAGCATGATTTTGTGCTCATCGGATGGATGGTAAAACCTAGAGATAAGCATGCACGCATAACAAATCCTTATTAAGTAATGGCATTTTAAGGGGGTCAGCTTGCTTAACACACCTTCAGATATGAAGGACTTTTTGGAATTTGTCACCAACAAACCAGTAGTGTTATTACATGATTTCTATGATTATCATACCTTCCAAGGAAGGTAAGTTGGTTCGAATCTACGTGTTTAGAAATGTGAGATTCTACCATCTGGCCGAAATTTCAAAACAGAATCTGGCCCGACAAGGGATTATTTGTAGCATTAACATCTTGACATCTGTTTGATCCTTTTCGTTCATGTTGCATGCAGGGGTTTCACTGAAGACTCAGGAGCTCTACGCACTGGTTTTTGCTACTCGCTACCTGGATATATTCACAGACTTCATTTCACTATACAATACTGTCATGAAGTTAATATTTCTGGGAAGTTCTTTCTCTATCGTATGGTACATAAGGCGCCACAAGATTGTCCGTAGATCCTATGATAAAGATCAAGATACCTTTCGACATTATTTTCTTGTGCTTCCTTGTTTGCTTTTAGCTTTAGTTATTCATGAGAAGTTCACTTTCAGAGAGGTATGCATGTTTTTTCATTCAAGCATCAGATATTGAATCGTGTTTGAATTCTCTTCACCTGGCCATTGTAGAAAACAGAGTGATGTTTCCTTATATTTGAACAGGTAATGTGGGCATTCTCCTTGTACTTGGAAGCCGTCGCGATACTTCCTCAGCTGGTCTTGCTGCAAAGAACAAGAAATATCGACAACTTGACAGGCCAATATGTATTTCTTCTTGGGTAATGCACTTTTCTACTCTTGTATTAGTGGTATTTGATATGACAATAAAGATTAAATGCCTTTGGTTTTCTTGTGCAGAGCGTACCGGGCATTGTATATTTTGAACTGGATCTATCGTTACTTCACCGAGCCTCATTTTGTCCATTGGATCAGTATGTTTTTTTTTCTCCTAATATTTCCAATGAAAAAAGTGAAGCAAAAATTATTTCTTACTCATCCATACAATTATAATCATGCTAGCACCCTTTTCAATACGGGGTGTTACAATTACATGTTTCACTGGAAAAAGGGCAACATGGTGCACAAGGCACCTTAGTTTGTGAAGGTTTGGGAGGGAAGTATTTGTACGAAGTATTTCATTTGCAGTTCTCAGAGATGTTATTTCAATGAGGCGAACCAGTGACTTTTCATTCAGAAAGGAATGACCTTGCCTATTTTTCAATGCTTTTGCCTTTAGGGTGCGTTTGGTAGGTGCGACAGGACATGACTGCACAAACACATGTCCCATGTTTGGCTTGACATTAGATTGGGACAGGACGGGACTCAGTGGGACGGGGAAAAAAACAAAATAGGTGGAACAAAAATCAGGGAGATGAGACAAGGTTGATAAATTACTAAATTACCCATATCAAATTAAAACCCTAAAACCTTTTACAATACTTTCACGGTTTCACCCGCCTACTCACTCTCACTTGTCCAGTCCTGCCTGTGTACCAAACCAACCTTTATGTTACCTCAAACATTTATAAATTTTCATAAACAATTTGAATATATTACCTAAAAAATCATTAGCATAAGGGTTGCCTTCATAACATATATTGCTATTGGTCTTGCAGCTTGGATAGCAGGCCTAGTCCAGACTCTGCTTTATGCTGATTTCTTCTACTACTACTTTGAAAGGTAAAAACTCTTAGTTAGCCAGTTAATTTGAAGCTTTTTGATGACATTTGGACATAAGTCTGAAATGCTTGTTTTTCTTTCTATAAATACAGCTGGAAGAACAATGTAAAACTCCAATTACCAGCTTGAGGCTTGTTTTATGATGATGGTAGAGGCAGGTGATAGAGTTATGAGAATCATACTTGACTATGTGCTTTGTTTCACAGGGGTGTATGCAACTTATGCTCTTTTTATTTGTTTTAATTACACCTCTGTTTGTTCTCAACTCCATATAATGGGTATGTAACCTCCCTTAATAGCAGATCATTTATATTAGATTATATTGTTCATTACTTGGAGAGTCCTGAAATGGCATTTGTGCTTGATCCCAACTTGGATACAAAGTTATCTAGGTCCACTTATGTTCGAATAAGGATCTAATGAAGCAATACATTGTTTTCTTTATGAAAAATGTTTTGTCCGTATGTGGAATAGACTAGCTCGACAAGCAAGGGGAACTGGAGCATAGCAAACAAGGTTACAGGAACAGATGCCATCAATATAACTGGTGCAGCTATCCATGATATTCGATCACGGAGTACCAGTGCAAGTGTCGCGCTAAATGCCGTCATTGTGGCAGCGAGTGACAAGAAAAGAGACACGAGCGCAATCATCATTCTTTTAGGTAAAGCGTAGAAAAAATCTTCTTCTGCGTAGCGTGAAGTAAGTATCGCTAAGAACATCAGCACAGACGTCGTGGAAGAGAATAACGCAATGGCATCCGACACGATAAAAAGGAGAAAGATTCCATCATTTAGGAACAAGGGTGACCCGGTAATGGTGTTACCTCCTGGGGCTGTAAAGGCTGCAGCAAATGCCATTGTGACCACGAGTGCACCCACGACCGTAGACGATGATGACATTTCTTTCATCCATGTTTCTCCTTCTTCAAGTAAGTCCTTGTGTGCTTCAGTAAATACCATTCTTGGTGTCTTCTGATCTTTATTTAAAGCTTCTTTATATGAAGGCTCCACATGCTTTTCCACTTCCTGCAAGAACATTAGCATCTGTTATCACGAGTAATGCCTAAAGAATTCAATATTGACTAGCTTTGGTACCTTAGTGAGTAACTAGATAGGTTTATTATCCAAACCCCGTGGTGCCCTGAAGTTAATAGCCAGTCAAACCTTCCAGTCATCCTGAGGGGACATCAACCGATGGCCATCGGGAAAAAAATAGATAGGCTTATTGTCGACAAAACCCATGGGGTCCTGAAGTTAGCAGTCAGACAACCCCTCCAGTGACCTTGATGGGACTTGGACCGGTGACCGTTGGGGAAAAAGATAGACGGTTTATCGTCAACAAATCCCATGGGGACCTGAAGTTAACAGTCAAACCAACCCTCAAGGAACCCTGAGGCGACTTGAACTGGTGATCATCGAGGAAAATAATAGATAGGTTTATTGTCAAAAAGCATGATCACCTTGAACCACTGAAGCTCCCTTTGCAGTTGCAAAGCTGGCCCAGTGACAGTCTTGAGTCGGTGGAGAGGTGACAGCCTCCCAGCTATATGCAACGGGTTGTCTTCATCAGGGTTCTCTGTTGCTGCAAATACCTTATGCCCTGTCATTCGATACACAAGGTTGAACACTTTTTCTTGACGATATCTTATTGCTGCAATGAACAAGTAGAACCCTCCATCATTGTACCAAACTATATCTGGGTAAGTTTGAACACACACTTTTATAAGTTCGTGGATCCCATGTTTTACAGCCGTAGACACTGCAGTTCCTAGTACATCCCAGGCTATACTATGGCTGCTTTTGTCCATGACAATGGAACACATTCGTTTTACAAGTTTTTGTGTATGGAAATGCTTTTGTTTCATACTGTAAATATCTTTGGCACATGGAGCTACGAGCAGGATCAGCTTTGAGACGAACAATCTGAAACTAGACTCGACCTTTTTGGTGGTCATCCTCCACGTATCTTTGTCCATTTTTACAGGGTAGTAGTCTGATGCTTCTTCAAGATTCACAGTAATACCTTCCTTGTCCACAAGAACCAAAACAACTTTCAGATTTAAGGCCATGTTTGGCAACCATAAGCTAGCTTATTTATGAACATATTGAAAAAAGCCCCTCTAGGTTAGCCATAAGCTATCCTTTTGAAATACTACTTCAATTAGCGATTCAATAAGTTCCAGGGGTTTTATTCGAATTTTTTCTTAACATGTTCTATGTAATTTTAATTGCCTCCTAGCTTATAAGCAATTCTTTTACCGAACAATTAGTCCCTTAACCAGCTTATCAACTAATAGGTAGCTTATTAGCCAATAGAGCTAGCTTTTCAGCCACCAACCAACTCATCAGTTAGTTTGCCAAACATGGACTAAATGCCTTCAATGTCGATAGTTTCAAAACATATGTAAAAATAGAGACCCTACAGGAGTAAATGAGATGCTGCAAGGGCCCTAGCTGGCTGCCGCTAGGAAAAACATCCGGTTTTGTAGCCAAGACTTGCAAGGCAGTCTGCCCGTTCCCATCTTTCTGAGTAACCAAATTCGGGTGCTTTTTGACTAGATACAGGGCTACATCTACAGGTCAAGGAAATAGGTGTAGAATTAGAATACCGCATTAGGGTCGGTTTCATAAGAATTATATATATATATATATATATATATATTGTGAGTAAATGCATACGAGTGTGCAATCCAAATCAATACTGAACAAACTATATCCCATCCAAGGTAAGGTCTTGGGAGGTAAGATGTACGCAGACTTTACTTCTGTCTCAAGAGAATGAGGCTGTTTCCAAGAACACCCCTTGCTTGCAAAAAGAAAAAGAAACATACCTAGAAAGCTCAAAAATGGACCACAGATAAGCATACAAGTATGTACTAACCACATAAACCTGCAATTAGGGTGAGGCTAATCAGATCAGCACCAGAAACTCCGGTGTATGGACTGGTACCATCCTCCCCAACCTCATCCTTAGTCACCTCCAATAAGTACCACAGAGTGTCCTGTTGACCATAGCGTGCCGCCAGTTTCAGGGCTGTGTGTCCATCTGTATTAGTGATCTGGGCAATGCCTGGATCTTTTGAGACCAAAAGCCTAGCGGCCCTAGTGTTCCCAATCTTAGCAGCATAGTGAAGGGCAGTGTTACCCCACCAGCTCTTAGTCCTCAGCTTCTGAACATCGGTTTCCATAATCCTGTCCACGAGTTTGGTTACAAAGCGGTGGGAAGAGTTGGTTCCCACGGCGATCTGCAGCGGTGTCTCCCACCAAGAGGTGACTTTGGCATCGAGTTTCTGTGGATCATTGTCAAAGATGTGCTCCACGGAATCCCAATCATCATTCATTGCAGCTTTGTAGATAGGAAGATTGGGAATCACATCGTCGAAGTCCATAATATTTGAATTTGGTTAGAATGGGGAGGTTGATTTTAGAAGAGGGATTACAGGAATACTATTATATTCATAGTTGACATTGTTGATCTTCATATGGTGGGAGTAGGTGAGTCTCCCTATAAGTTGGATTTGTTCGATGCATCATATATTAAAACCTCAACTTGCATTTAAGATTCTTAGATACCAATAAAAATGTCTACAGAAAGTTACAGATTACTACATCAAACCTTTATTTTTTATACTTTAATAGATCACTTTTGTTAAATTACAACACTTTTTTGGTGAGAACAAATGAATATATACCTATGATGTGTGAAGGTTGGGTTCTTATAAGACCAACCATTTTTTGTGAAGCACTGGTGTGGTTTTCATGTGAAGATTTCGACAAGATAAAACCCCCCCTCATATTGCGTCTTACGATGATTCCAAGTGTTTAGCGTGGAGCTACTTTTTAATGATTAAATATGGATTTATTACTTGAATAATATAATCATCAACGGACATCTCACCTTTTCTTAATAATCTCATCGTATTTTCTTGGTGTATCATAATGGATTTGCCGATCCTAATCAAAAGGCGTCATAACCACAAAGCATCTCCGCTTTCAGGGCAGCAGCCACTGAGAAATTGCCCGAAAATGGTTTTTGTGAACCATCCAACTAGCTAGGTGCCTGGCTCGAAGTAAAAAAAACAAAAAATTGACATTGAACACCATGGTGGTGCAAGTACCAGTGACTCGAGGCTGAAAAAAGGGCCGTTTATCAAGTGCTCAAGGGGTGTTATTTATCTTATTTGGCGAGTATATCAAGGACCAAGAATCTTCACTGGTAAGTGTGTGCAATTCATTTTGATGCCGAGAATGTTAAACCGATAACGTAAGCAAGAATAATAGCTCTTGCCAATAAGCGTTTTGATAAACATCCCCCTCAAATTTCTTACACAGCAAATCGTGCAACTCACTTGTGATCAAACATCACCATACTTGATCTTCTGAATCAAGCCCTAAACAATCACCATCATAGGAACTTGATTCTCAACGGTTCCAAAACCTATCTTTTCAGGTCATATCAAGATTATTGGTGCCAAAAAAAGGGAAAAAAAAACAAAAACCAAAGATGTATATGGAGGATATTTACATAAGATGTTTAGTGTTCATTGTATCGCTAAAATGTAATATTATGGAACAAACTCGAAGACAAAGTCATGTAGAAAAACTACAGTCGTGGATATTACGACGTATAAACATATTGTGGGGAAAGAATGTTATTTAGCAGCTCTCTGAAATTTGCCAGCACGTGACGCGGCCCTAAACTCTCCACGCCAATCAAGTTCAAGAGCTGCTCTAAGTCCTGCACACCCATGTCAAACAGATCCAGGAGGTGTCATCAAGTTAAACCAACACGTCAATGTTTCACGACCACCAGTCCAAAAGCTATCAAGTTAATGAGACATAAACCCTCGGACACAGACAGAAATTCGGGCAAAACTGACTCGTGATAGATCACGTAACCGTACTAACTTCTAGAGGTGATCATTCACGAGCTCGGTTCATATTTCTTTGTCCAATAAACCTAATATTGCAAAACAGAGCTCCTTTTTGTGGTCTTCAAAAGTTGCCCATGTTGCCCTATAAACCGGTTGGGTTTAACAAATCTTTATGTTTAACAAAATGTAACACATATAAACTAAAAGATTAACACGAAATGTTTTCCCACTACATATCAAACATCAATATATGGCATCTGGTAAATAGATGCAAAATTTTCCCGCTACACGTGAAAATCTAAACCACAAGCCACAAGAAAATGATGAGAAAATCTAAAATGCATGTGAATAATAATAAAAAGAACTTGTAGAAACAAGAGTTGCAATATATGGCCATATTTACTCCACAAAATGACTATTTAGCTGCCCAATATGAAAGCAACACCACCGAGGCCCTTATATACATTATTAGATAAATACTTAACTAATTATAAAAATATAAATGGGTCGGACAGGTTTTTCCCGATCTTTTTGCATTGACGGGCAGGGTGGCGCGTGCCATCCTTTGGTTTGATAAAAGGAGATTCAAAGGTCCTAATTCACAATTTAATACCATCCTTCTTCAAATTACTACAATTAAGGAGCATCATTATAGTTTCTAAAGAACATTGAAGGAAAACAAGGTAAAGGTGTATGGTTAAGAAGCAAATACCTTGTTAAGTAAGAAACATGCATAAGCTGATCTTGTTGTGTCTTGGCCTTCCAAGAATAGAGGAAATTCCATCGGCTTTGAAGGCGAGTAAGGTAATAAAGTTGACATCAATTCAGATATAGATTCAACCGAAGGAGCATAGTCACATATATATGTTCGAGAAGCTCCCACTCTTATTGGGTACCTCAAAGGAATTTCTAGATATAGAGCAAGTAGTGAAACAGCCTGCAAGAAGACCACAAAGGACACTCAACAATCATCAAGCATTGAAGGGTAATCTAGAGATCATTTTACATAATACTTCAACTAATTCCAGCTATTTCTTGTTCACTTATAAATGAAGCTAATGATAGGATTGCAAAGACCTTCTAATAGGGATAATGGTCTTTTTGCGGCAATAGCAGATGTTATGTCACATTGAAGCTAATCAAATCTTTATCCATTTCAAATAAGTGAAAGTTAGAGTAAAATTACTGGTAAATCAGCACTAGCAGTTTTCGTATATATTTTCTGAGTACAGATTAAGACAGAAAATAATTTTAGTCCCTCCATACCAAAAATAATTTCAACAATTTCTATTTTGGGATGTCACAGATCGGTTGGAAAACTTCTCCTCACATGCAATCATTACAAAAGTTCAATGATTTTGAAAATCTGGATTACATGATTCCGACTATTTTGTCATCATTATCAAGTATTTAAGCCATTAATGAATCATGTATCTAGTTAAATGTTAGAAATACTTTGAGACAGTGGGAGTAGTTGATAGCAAAAGGCAGCAGAGAGAAAGAACACAAACATGTGCAACATAACCGAGAGCAGTTGCCGACCTCAGGACCTCCTTTTTATCAGTGAAAAAATTCATCTTTGTAAAAGGAAAAACACTGAGATGTAGACCTGAAATCGTCAAAGATGCTGCATCCGGGGGTTTCAGTCGAGAAGGATTCCCTACCAGACCAACAAAAATATAGAAATTAATAAGACAAAATCAGATCATCCAATTAACAAACGACAATTCGAGCAAAGTAATGAACACTAACAGCAAAAGGAACATTATATTACAGTGAAGGAACCAAAATAGTGCAGTAACCAGAGACATGACATTTTCAATCAATTGAATGTTTATAGAAGTCCTTAATGGTTTTAATATATGCATTTTGGATATACATTATATGGCCCTTTTGGTATACGGGATTTGGAATTGAATTCCATTCCAGTTCCACATTTGGTTTTTAGGGAAGTCCAGAATTGAAATCTGACAAACATTGGATTCAGAATCCTGTGGGGTAGTTGGTATTTTACGGGATTTCAAAGGATTTTTTTGTAATAATGTTCTAAAATATGTTAAAAACATTTGCTTTGTAATAATCAATTAATAATAGGTATTATTCTTATAATTATTTATAATTTGTTTATATAAATTATCTATAAAGAAGGGAATTCAATTTCATTCCAAATCCTACAAACCAAATACACCAAAGATTTCAAATCCTTCCATGAAACCCAAATCCCTCGAAAAAACATTTCATCAAACCAAATACCCCGTATATGAATTTCAGTGAGTATACGCACCAATGCATATATATATATATAGGCAGGATCAAAAGAGAACGTTACCTATATAAAAGAACACGAAAACGGGCAAATCAAGTGCAAAATCATATGTGATTTTACATTAATGATAAAAAAGAAGTGTCCAGGTGACTTGTGGCTACATCTTCAGGTCGCTGGCCAAGGTCGCCTGAATCACATGTGATTTTGTACGTAATGTTAGTGTAAATTCACACGTGATTCGCCAGTTTTCGTGTTCTTTTAAACAAGTACTATTCTCATTTGATCCTCCCTCTCTCTCTTTCTCTCTATATATATACATATACTTGCAAATATAGTACATGTACATTGATGAAGATACTAATTGGCATATACATATTTTGATGGTATATATGCATGAACACAATGCAAATATTGGGTCTCAAGTTTCTCAATTTATGGTTCTCATTTGAACTTTCCCATATGCACACACATCCAATATAAATTCAAAAAGGTTTTAGCTACATTACAAGCATAAGCAATACATCAACTCCAAAGAGAACTCCATCAGACAGGACTAAGCACGCTATAGAAATCAAACCTTTTTTCCTTTCCTAAGAGTTAGAAACATCATCAAGCACTGCTAAAGTTCTATTTCCTGTGGGATTCTAAAGATGTCAAATCCTTTTGAGGCTATGTTAAAATTTCAATGATTTCAATTTTTTTCTTAATTGTGCCTCAAGAGTTTTGAACTCCCAAGTCTATTATAAATCGAATACTTCACCAGAAACTCTCTTCAATGTACTCAACTTCCCATCTTTCCATAACTTTCAATCTCTTCAGAGTAAGATTGCCCACTCTCCCAACATCTGGAGTTCAAATAAATATCAGTCTTTCTCCTCTATCTTCACTCGCCTTCCCAGTTCCAACAACAATATTTCTATCAACTATCAATCTATCATAGCTAATAGTGATATTGAAAGATGAGTGCCTCTGGACTCGAAGATGTGAAACATGAATTGACGCTTTCCAGGTTACCGCTAACTCAAATAAACTTGGATCACTCATTTTGTTTCATTACAACAATTTCGCACTACCACTATTGTACAAGTTATAGGATAAGTGTACCAATATGTAATATACAGGTAAGAGCATGTTCTTGTAATTCCACTTTAAATATGGCTATGCTCACCGTATCTGATGATTCTCCCTGGATCTTACAACTCTGGGTTATCAACTAAAATTCCTGGCACAAAGGGTTCAACCACAAAATAAAATATCATAATTGAAAGTCATTAAACTATGCCTACTTTTTTAATCTCTAACCTAATCAATTTTGATCTTGACATGGGGGGGCATGTTCTTAAAGGTGCATATAGGTGCATGGCTGAAAGCAGGTCATGCAGCCATGCTAAATTGTTAATTCATCCCCAGTATAATGTTCTGCAGTTTCAAAATTTTATTTCAGTATTGTGGGCAACTGGCCTCTGGAAAATAACTTAACATGACGTTCCAGTTATATATATCCTTTAGGCTGCATTTGGTATATGGGACATGACAGGACAGGACAGGACGGGACAAAACTCACTGTCCCACGTTTATGGCGCAACATGGGATAGAACAAGAACTCACTATCCCATTTTTGGCGCGACATGTGACAGGGACAAGAACTGGGACAAGGTGGGAAAAAAGGCTTTTTCTTGTTCCACCTATTGGGACAAAAATGAGACAAAAACTAAAACATTACTAACCTACCCTAGTTTGATATATAACCTCAATATGATATTTGTTTTAATGGTCATCACCGCTAGTTTCGGCCGTCGCCACCACCGGCATTCACCGTCGGTCACCTCCACTTCCACCTCCTCTTCCAATACAACAACATCCTCCACCGCGTCCACAACCACCATCCATCACCACCTCTACCACAGTTGACCACTAGCCACCACCGTCCATTGCACCACTACCGCCATTGGCTACCTCCAACTCCTCCTTTACTACAACATCCTCTACCACCTCCACAACCACCGTCGGCCACCGACTACCACTATCCATTGCCACCTCTACAACCACCATCGGCCACCTACCAGCACCATCTATTGCAACCAACACTACCACTGTTGGCCACCTCCAACTTCTCCTCTACCGCAACAACCTCTTCCACAACCACCGTCGACCACCAACCACCACTGTCCATTGCCACCTCTACAACCACCACCGACCACCACTGTCCATTGCCACCTCTACAACCACCACCGTCCATTGCCACCGCCACTACCACCGTTGTCCACCTCTATCTCCTCCTCTACTGCAACAACCTCCTCCACGACCTCCACAACCATCGTCGACCACCGACCACCACCGTCCATTGCCACCTCACTTCCACCATAACCACCACCACCACCACCACTACTTCACTATATTGGCCACAACTACTCCACCATTGTCAATCGCCACCACCACCACCATAATCCACCATCTTCACGTCCTTCACAACCGTCGTCCACCAACCCCACTGCCTCTACCTCCATAACCACCGTCGGCCACCGACCACCACCACCCATCGCCACTACTATCGTCGACCACCACTACCTCTACCACAACCAACACCACCTCCACCACCACTACTACCATCAATTATATCAAAATTTTCATTAAAATTTGGTACCATTATATATGTGTATTTATTTATATGAAAATTGTGTAAAAATATTTATAAATTAAATTCTTTGATTTATTTACTTTATTTTTGCTAATTATAACTATTATATAATATTTAAAATTATCCAATAACTTTTGGGGCCAACTTGTCTAGTTCTGTCCCATCCAATCCTAGTCATACCAAACACCAGACAGTCACTTGTTCTGTCCCGTCCAGTTTTGTCCGGTCCTACCCTCTTGTCCTGTCCTGTACTGTCCAGTCCTGTCCAATCATGTCTGCGTGTCAAATGCTACCTTATTGCCAGAACATACAAACAGACAGACAAAACAGTTGCATATGAAATCCAAAAGATATCATTAACATTCTTGTTATGGCTTAAGCATACTTAGGGCCTAGTTGACAGAAATTATTACCGAACCTACTACTGCCGGTGTATGATTCAAGTTCTTGCTCACATCTATGTCCAAGCACCACCTTCACAGGATAGAGTAGTGAGATCTGTGACACCAAAAGTTGTTGCCTCATTCTCAACAACTTCTGCAAATTCCATAGATGAACATACCCTCTTTCTCCAGCCAATGACTTATGCGCTTCCTGCATCAAACAACAGATTCATATTTCTTCTCTTAAACCAAAGAAAACAGTAAACACCCAAAATAAAGTTAATTCTAGCATGCTGTCTGTATTAGATCAAGATTTCTAGTATGCTGTTCTGTGATCAACACTCGGATTTTACAGTTTGGCATCATTACTGATCAGCCATTTTCGCTTATCCTTTCTTTGGCTGTAGAATTTGGTTTAGGGACAACATTGTCCTTGAGTTTCAACCCAGTGCTTTATGTGATTTCATGATGGATGATAATCGTGGTACAATTGTTAATAGTGCTTTGTCCAACAATTGTTGTATATTAGATGTAGGACTATCTTGTAGTTGTTTTTTTAAGTCTTTTAAGAAGATTTCAAGTGCAAGGTGGAAGCACACAGGGCATGGCAAAGAGTTTTCTAGCTACAAACCAACAACAATGACAGAAGTTATCTTTGTAATGTTTCAATAGCAGCCAAACAACTTCCAAGGAGGTTCCAAACATGTGCTAATATGGATAGGAAATTAGGAATAAAGCAACAACAGTACAAAAAAGTACCCTTGCCTTTTCTTTTACAGGAAGCATATTACAGCCAAGGCTTCTATCTTAAAGATAAAACGCTCTCTTCTGGACATAATCTGGTTGAAAGATAATTGCTCTCTTCTAAAGGCAAGAGACTTACAAACAGATAAGATTGAATATAGAGCAATCCTCTTGCAAGATTAGGAAAGTATCAAGTGTCACTTATGTACAACTTTTGTTGCGGATAGCGCAATTTAAGAGAACATATAAAATTTTTAGACATGGCACCCTGACAACTTGAAATTATCATCTTTCTCCAACTTTGTGGGAATAAATAAACATCTATGAAAGTAATAGCAATGTTGATTACCTGCAATTGCCTTCTAGCTACAGAAAGAGCAGTACCATCCATTAGAAGAGATCTAATCTTAGAGTTAAGCTGCTCCTCCTGCTTCTTAGCTTTCTCTTGTACAACTTTTGATTTCATTGCCATATTTCCCATTACCAGTTTTCGGGCTTCCAATTTCTCCCACATTTCACCTAGCTCGTTTGACCAGTTTAACGATTCTGCTTCTAACTGCCCAACATTTGACAACCCGCTAATCCGCGGGCTAAGTAATTGAAGCGAATACGCTTAACATGGAAAGCAAAAAAAATTGTGCAACATGTAGAAGCAACAAAAAGCACACAGGATCTGTAAATTAACCCCATGAATGTTTTCTACTTTTTAAAAAATGAAGACATTTTCACAATGAACTCTGAAAATTTTACATGGCTGTGCAGTGAAGTTGAGCATAGTTGCCTTTTCCCAATAAGAAAATGAAATAATATGGAAATCTTACTGTATTTGGCTTTATATGCAAAAACAAGCAAGCAGGGAAACAGTTTTGCTAATGCAGTAACTCGAATGTGATATCAGATATGTATCAGAAGTTTAATACTATTGAATTTTACATGCATAATCCGAAAACGAGTGCTATCTTTCATCTCTCTCATAGATTTCTCTGCACCCACACATAAGAAGATGAACCAAAACTATTATTTCTTCCTAGTTCTAACACATGTTTCTTCCACAAATGAAACTTCAACAACAAAAAAGTCGAAATATTGAAATTGAAGCCAATATCTAGAGTTCAAACATTCAGTGATCCTAATTTCTGAAGAAAAAAGAGACTTTACTTCCATCTTCTCACATTTAATGCTACAATATCATTCTTCATAATATTAATCAACTCATGTAACCAATTCCAATCAACTTGAAAGAGCAATGTAGCAGTGAGACCGTGACAGGAAGTATTTTCCATTTGAAAACAAATCTGTCAAAGTCCCCATTATTAATGTTCTTTCACATCCTAGACGAATTCAAACTGCCATTGTAGAACACCACCACCAGTCACAAATTTTCCAAAATCAGTAACGGATGACCTCTCTACTTGATACCGAATCAATTTCCTTTCAGTTATCCTATTTCACATTAACCAGAATAAACATTAAACAAATGTAGTAAAATCTCGATCCTACCTGTAACAGGGAGTTAAGCTTCTGTTGGATCAAAGACTTCTTGTGATTAGCTTGGTCAAGGGCGGACGAAAGACTGGAAAGACGAGCAAGCTCTTGCTGGAAATCTTCCCATGGAACGATCTTCACTTTCTCCTCGTACTTGTTGTTTCTTTCTTCAAACGCTTTCTTCTTTGATTCCATATATAACCGAAGTAGTTGATGATGATATTTGAAAGTGCATGGGACGATTGATCAAAAGTCGTAGATCGTTGTCACCCCACCTCACCATAGTCGTGAAGAAATTCCGAGCAAATATTAGGGGTTAAAAGATCATCATCACTGTTTTCTCATTCAATTTCAAAGGGATTGGTGGTTACTTAGCAGAAACGCAACAAATCTAGCTTTGGATTTCGATCAATGCACTAATTGTGGACCCACAACACCGACGAAGAAGAATGTTACCATAAATTAAGGAATTATATATAATATTAACCATAGTGTCCGTAAACCCTCGGTTGAATCTTAACCGTTTAAATTAATCATGAGATTAGATCTTAACCGTTCAAACTAATGTATTTCACAGTTTTATAGCTCACTACTACTTGGCCGGTTGGCCCAAAAGTACAACTTAACCTCCCGCGTTCCTTCCCCACTCCCCTTAATTTCGGGATGAATCCGAGGATGCATATTTCTCTGACGAAGACCCGCTCATTGAGTGCCTGCTTGTCCAAATTCGGAAGTCTACTCCTTCATCTCTGCTTTTAAGAGGTAGGAATGCATTAATTTACTGGCATCAGTTTTTTGTTAGTATTTATAGCCGGTTGATTTTGCATTCTTTTGTAAAAAGAATAGTATATATGTACTCGAGGGAAGTTCAAATGAGAACCGTGTCTATGTGGGCCGCCATGAGTCGCAAGTACTCCTTATATTCACCGGTAAAAAGGGTAAACACTATCAAACCCTTTGTTTTCAAGAGGGTTCGGTCATTCTGGTTCAATTGAATTAAATACAGAAAGATTGCAATGAACAATAATGCATTAGAAGTAACTCCAACCGTAAAGTAACTGATACAAAGTTGTATAGGTCCAATCTCCTACAAATTCAAATTTTCATTTCAATTTAAACCGCAAGAATAAAAATATATTTTTATTCCCAAACAGCCTCTCAAATTTGACTATTCATGTATGATAAAATCATAAAAATATCAATTTTTTCTTGCCAATTATACGGTTTATTTGGCAACAAATTTTCTATTTAATGGTTAAAGTTAAGGGGATTCTTTTAACCAAAAGAAAAACCAATTGAACCAACTCGGAAGAGCAACCCATCTAATGCAATGTGATCATGAACATGACCAAACATAACAAATCAAAAAACATTGTCCCATGTTCGGTAAAATACATTTGGTGTACCATTTAACAATCAAGTTCCAGCAAGCATCAGGAGTTCACTTCAAACAATCACGAAGAATCAACAATGTAATATCATCAATTGGTAAACATAGTTTGTCTTCATTTCAAGCTTTTGCCAACAAAATAAGGTTTCAAAATGCTCACCAAAAGAAACTAGAATTGCTGCAAAAACCTGAAACCTCAGCTTCTCAAAGTAAATAAAAAACCTTCTTTAGAGTTTAGATATATATTGAATGCGATGCCTCTTCCAGAGTTCTCTTTGATGCATAGTGTTACTTTCTCTGTTACATGATGCAGACTAAAGATGCCAAGGTTTGGGCCCAGGCCTTCCAAGCTTGTTTTCAGTGAGAAAAAAACGACCTAGTTTGTTTAGGACTGGGTCAGGATTTGGGGTTGAAAAAGGGCTTGATCGCCTTTTTTCCAGGCTTTACTGCCACTAAAATTTCAACGTAATCAGGCTTTGAGACCTGACCCGAACCAAGCATCGGATTCACGATGCCCAGGCTTTTTGGACCGGACATGGGTCAAGCTTTGGGCTTGGGCTTCTTTGTGCATCTATAATTGATGGTCTCGTTAGGGTCTACAAGATGTTTATAACAGTTTGTAGAAGGGGGGCGTGGGATGAATACAAACACAAAAAACTTATCAAATTTAAAATATATAATGATAAAGAATGATCAATACAGATTTTACAAGATTGTTTGTGGAAAGATAAGATAAAGATAACATATCTAAACAATCTAAGTTACACACTAATTCTTAGTAAAGAAAAATGATTTGTTGTTTAAGACTTAGAAGAAAGTAAGTTCTTTCTGAGTAAGAACTATTTAGAATACTAAAAAGGGATTCTAACTTGCTTTTGAAGAAAAGCGTATTGTGTTCTTAGATGTGTGTTCTTTCACGTATGAACGTAAGTTAAGGTTCAAGAGTTAGAGTGTGTATCTCTGCATGGAGATAGAACACATTTATTTATACTCATTGCATTAAATGCACATTTAATGCAATGCATTAAGGTTTGAACACGTATCAAACCTTTAGAGAAAGACTTGTCATTTACTACAATGAATAGTACAAAAGCCTATTCATGAGCAGACATCATTTCATGGAGTTGGTGGGTAGTAAAGTCAACTAATCGGCTCCGTACCGTACTATGCTCTAGAAAGGACATGGGTTCGTCCTTTGTGTGTATAAGGACAAGACAAAAACAATCGTGCTGAACAAGCTTCTTTTGATCGCTGAATGTTGGAATAACCTGAAGGTCTCTTCAGCATTCGCTGAGTCTTGGGCAGTCTTCACACATGTATAGATGTTGATCCTCTCTCTCAGTGATTTGATGATAATCCCTTTTTTCCTTTCGATGTATTTTTATGTTTCTGTACTTTCAGTTCCAGCGATCAATTCACTAAGCATGTTCAGTGATCGCTGAAGAACTCACTTTGTAATTCATTCAGAGACAACGATACTTCAAGAAAACAACACTCACACCAAAGATCCTTCAGCAAACGTCGAAGACTGAAACTGAAGATTAGAGACTGGCGCGT